AGGCTTATTATGTGTGGAAGGGGCTGTTTCTAAGCCCTACAGTACTGAAAGGTGACTGCCACTGACACAGATCTACCTCCTGAGAGCTGGGCACAGCCGCTTTGGGTGTGATGTGAGACAAGTCCGCCAGCTTACAGTGAGGCTACTTCGGAGATTTGGGGGAAATAAAGAAAAAGGTAAGAAATTGAAGATTGGGGGCATTAATGAAAAGAAGCCGACGCCCAGGTACACTTTGCTTTGTTTTGTCCTTTCTCCAGCTCTGTCCGAGCATTTGGGGACGCTCACCGGAGAGGCTGAGGCCCGAAAAGGCAGAATAAATGAGGACGAGCCCTGACGACTGAGCCCCTTCTTTAGACCCAGATCATTGAGCGTGTGGTATGGAGCACCAGCCTGGCCTCTGAGCTGCGGTCTGCAGAAGGCAGAGCTCTGTGTGGTGCACTTGGAGGTGCAGATCCATGAGAATGAAGCCACTTCCGTGAACCTAAAGAGCCTTGCTCCCTGCCTTCCGCCTCTCTGTTGGTGCTGCAGCCTGGGGCAGCCTCGAGCCACCCTCCAGCTGTGAGCACAGGAAGTCGGGTGCCACTGGGGGCATCCCTGAGGCCAAGCTCTGACCACTCCGTTTTTCAGTCCAGCCTTGTCTGGACCTGGATCGGCTCCTATCCCTCATCCTGCAAAGGAAGGGTAAACTCGCTCAGCATCTCGGGCCGAGCCCCAGCAGCACCTCACTGTGAAAGCCAGCGCTTCGCTACAGCCCTTTTAACTTGAAGAGCAAAACACACACAAGGAACGTAAACAGTGCCACGGAGCTAAATGAGAGAAAAAGTGGCAAAGCGTCCCCGTGGGAAAAGCAGGGCAGAAGGGTGGCCAGCGCTCCTGGGTTCCAGCTGGCACACCCAAAGCAACAAGCCCGGCCCACAGGGCTTCTCCGTACCCTTCAGGAGGAGCCAGTGAGATGGACGGGATTACTGCGCATGATGAGCCCTAGAAGATTCTTCTGTTTCTTCACAACTCAACTATACACACAGAGAAAGAGCGGGATTACACAGCGCTGCTTACTGAACATTGTGACTTCACAGCCTGGCTGCTGTTCTAGAACCACAAGCCATGCTCACATGATCACCTGAGCTGCACCTCCTGCCTGACCACTGGAGGCTCCTGCTTCTCTCAAGAGCAAACCCTACTGTGAATTGTGCATGCAAAGTGTCTGCATGTGTGTGCCTGTGAGTCGTCCTCAAACCACCCCCACCACCATGCGTGGAGAAGTTGTCTTCAACGAAACTGGACCCCGGTGCCGAAAGGTTGAGGACCATTCCATCAGAGGCTTTCCGGGAGGAGACAGTTCTTAATATTCACAATCACTTGAAAGGTAGGAAGAATCTGCTGTATGTTACACATGATGACACTGCAACTTGGAATCCGAGTAAGTTTTCCAGGACATCACAGTGAACAAGCCACTGACCCCCAACACTCATTCTTCTCCCTGCCCTCCATGCGTCTTCGGTGGAATAGAAGAGAAACTGTGGTTTCTTTGAAACACAGAACACTTAATTTGGGCTGTTCTCCAGTAGGCTCTGCCTGAATCCACATCAAGCGGCTCTGAAAGCTTGCAGCCTATGGACTGTTCTCAGGCCCTCTCTGATTTGTCCTGCCACAGCGGAGGCAGGCAGAGCATCAGCAGTGTTTAATTTAAATGAATGCCAGACCAAACTGTAACTCAAAGAAATGCATGAAGAATATCAGTTTCACTTTCTGTCTAATGTTTAAAACAAGGCTTTTCCTCCAACAAATATTTGCTGCTGAAGACGCCCTGCCTAAGCCCCCAGTCATGATTTTGCAAGTCAAAAAACCATGTGGTCTGATTAATTTTAACCTCCACAAACCTACCAATTGTACAACATTTCAGCCTAAATCATGGCAAAGTCAAATCTGTGCTTTGAAATTTGCCAACTGTCTTTGTGGGTATCCCTCTATTCTTTAACCTATCTTCAAAGCTAAGAAAAGTGATTGCAGAAAATTAATGACTATGAGCTGCTGTACTGGGCTTAAATTATTTCAATAATATTGCATCCCCCCAAAATCATCTGTATGAAGTAGCACCTCTCATTCTCATCCAGTGCACTGAGGGCATCTATTTCAGAGGTCTCTACAACTAGGAAGCACAGCTGGGTCAGGAGAGCGGTCCAGCCAGGGCCTCCCACACACCGGGGAATGTCCGGTGACATGGGTCATGCAGACTGCTGGAGCGTTCATCTTGAAAGATTTTGGTTTTGTTGTGCTGATGGAAGTTATGTGGAGGGTAGGTTACTTTTTCATTTTTCAGGATTTGTTTTCCCTAGTGGCTTCCAGAAGGGACCTTCTCGGAAAGCAGAAGCAATGGTCTCTGTCCAGGTCACGGATTCTCACACCTGGACCATGGAATCAAATTGATGTGAGCTTTCAAAAGAGAAACCACAGGCTGACATCCCCACCTCGGTGCACAGACCTGGGCGCAAGCTCAGGGGTAGAAGATGCAGGAGACAGGGCCGGCCTGAGAGTCCGCGCCCTGCAGGGGGCGCCAACAGCCATGCTCCGGCCTCTCCTTCTCCACCCTCCCCTGCCCCCCCCACCCTGGCCTTCACTCTCGAGGAAGGTTTTTCTGTGCTACTGCACAACAGGCCCTCAGGCGCCATTGCTGAGTTCCTGAACGCCAGTTCTCAGAAGAGGTGGGGAAGTGACGGCGGACTGGGTTACGAAGGAAGAGGAAGAGCCAGTTAAATCCTGGTGACCGTGCGCTGCATCCTATCCCGTCATTAGCCTTGCCCTTGACTATACTTTAACTGTCCATAAATACTCCGTAGTGTACAAGGTCGGGTGTTAAAAAGTCGGGGCAGAAAGTAAGCATATAAAGATTTTACGGTGGCATTCAGCATACAATGAATGATATGTCTGTGGAACGTAACTTGGCCGAATTCCTAGTTATGCAGAAGGAGGCACGTTGCTGAAGGAGGGATAAACGCTCGCATAGCCGTTGTGCTCACGCTCCGACGACCTTCCTAAACTTCATCGAGCGAGCGGGGAGAGGTGGGAATGCAGAGGTCTGCAGAGGCGGCCTTGGAAGCAAAGACCAAAGTCCTCCTGCCATTTCAGCCTTTTCACACGAAAATCCCAACCCGGAAGTGTCGCGTGCCACCCTTTTCCCCTCGTCTTCCGTTAGGACTTTAGCGCCTCGCGTGCAGAGGGTAGGAGAGAACCGGAGCGAACAAGGAACCACGGGGTGGGCGGCGCTCGACTAAAGCTGGGGTGACCTAGAGGAGGCCTCACCATTGGCCCCAGTGCTGGATTGTCATCTAGGTCCCTCGCCTTCCCTTGTGGCTGCACCTCTGTCCCAGCTCCCACCTGGCTGTGCAGAGACCGAGGTCTGCGAGCTGGGTCCTAAAATACGGCCCAGTCAGAGCGTGCGGCGAAGGAGGAATGGGCGGGCTGGGGTGCAGGAGCAAAGAAAGACCCACACAAGGGCATGATGCCAGCACCTGCACTGTGACGCGAAGATAAAATCACAGGACCCGGAATTCGGAGTCGTGTATCAACCCAAGGCCGGGGCGGGGGAGTCGGGAGGTGCCACCATCCTGGCTCGGGCAAGGAGGGGGCCGCAGAGGCTGGAAAAAGCAAATCTCCTTATCACCTCCAAGCTGTAAGTTCTCCCCAGAGCCCAAGGCACGGCCCACCCTCTGGCTCCTCAGGTACTGAGTCCACTCTGGGAGAAGAGTTAGAGAGGAGAGGGAGAGACATGAACAGCAGCAAGGACAGATTCCTCGCTGGACTGTGGGCTCGGCTCCTTGCCGACACAGCATTCTCCCTAAAACTCTCGGCACCAGTTCAGCCATGAGGAAAGCATCTGAAACACCCACGCTGGTGAACAGTCTACAAAACACGAAGCCGGTGCTGCTGAAAACTGTCAGGGTCGTGAAAACTAAGGGGAAGCAGAAACCGCAACAGATGGGATGAGGCCAAAGGGATGGGACAACTGAGGGCAGCATGGCGGGGCCCTGGAAGCCGGTGGACTCCAAGGAGCCTGCCACTGAGCCGGGAGCCCTCCGTGTGTAGTGCTAATCCCTTTTACATCGGTGCATAATAATCCTGAGTAATGGGTTGCTCACCCATGCACATAACATTCTTTGATCGTTTTCACCCCCATTAGGTCTTGTCCCCTTCCCCCTTCCCGACTCCTTTTCTTTTGTCTAATAGCCACCCTTCTACTTTCACGTCACTGTTTTATGGAAGAGAGAAAGCACGTGGTACTGTATTTGTCTTTCTGGGTCTGGCTGAAACGTGATGACCTGCTGTTCCACCTGTTTTCCTGTAAATGGCATGGTCTCGTTCTTCTTTAGGCCTAGAAATCCTCCTCCACTGTGTCTGTCAAGCAGATTTTCTTTATCCATTCATCCATTGACAAGCACCAAAGATGGCTCCAAAGTCTGACTATCGTGAACTGGGCTGCTACGCCCAGGGGTGCAGATACATCTCTGGTCTGCTGACTCTCATTCTTTCAGGAATATACCTAGGAATGGTACAGCTGATCAAGTGGTAGCTCTCTCTGTGGTTTTTTGAGAAACTTCCTTGCTGATTTCCACAGTGACTGTAAATTACATTACAAACACGTGTACAATGATGCCTCCTTTCCCACTATATCCTCACCAGCACTCGTTCTTTTCTGTATTCTTGATCATACCATTCTTACCGGGGCAAGACACCATGCAAGGGGTGTCCAGGGTATGGAGTGAATGTTTCAATTTTCGAAATGTATGACAGTGAAAGATACATTTCCATCAGTCCCCTCACAATCCTCTCCCTCGCTTTGAACACTCTCGTCCCATTGTTCTGGCCACTTTATGAAGCAGTTCCAGAAGTGTTTTTTTGTGAGAATCTTTATGAGGTGTGATGAAAAATCCAGTGAATGCTGCTGCTGAGTGACATCCAACAGAAAGGCAGCTCATAAAAACACGGCTGTGTGTCCTCACCCACCTTACTCACCAGATCTAGCACCCCACAACTTCTGGCTCTCCCCAGAGTCAAAATGACCATGGAAGGTAAGCGTTTGCAATTGATTCAGGACATTGAGGCAGCCAGGGGACTAAACAAAAGGCACAAAAGAGCACTCCACAGCTGCTTCTGCAAGAGGTTAGAATAATGGAGCAAGGATGTTCAAAGTGCGGGGGGAGTGTCTGGAGGGGAATAAACAGCAATATGCCTTTCAGTGTAGTCATATTTTTAATTTTAAGCATTCTTTATATTTTTCGATTACATATCCCAGTTCCACAAAATCTCAGGAGGAGTCTGAGAAGCAGAACAGACCCCAGGCATCAGCTATTATGTTTGCAGCTTTTACGTTGCTGGCTCCGCATAATGCATTCTGAGAGGTGATCAGAAATGTTACTGTTATTTCCATGATGTGGGTGAGAAACGTGCCGAGGGTGCTTACGGGAAGTGGGTAGGGCTGGCCCACCACTGAGTACTCTGGCAGACTCCTGGCCCCGTGTGTGGACAGGTTCAACGGTGCCTACTGAGCACAAGCCCCTCTGTGGTTCAGCCTTCTTCATGTCTCTTGATGAATCCTGGCCAGGACTCACTTGGGCTTGCAGAAAGAGTCACCCAGGAAGGAACAAAACTGGCCCCCTGGGGCCTCAGGAGGTGCGCTGTGGGGAACTGCGATGCAGGCCCTCCGGAGAGGAGACCGATCCTGATGAGGTGAATTGAGCTTTCCCAGCCTGCACAGATGTGTGTCAATCTGCTTCCTGAGCTGTGGTATCTGAAAGCTTTCTCCACCAAACAGATGAAACACAATACCGGGGAAATGCTGAAGGTGGCTCCCCTCAGCATTTTAAAAATCTCATCTGGCAAAGACACTGTGTCGGTTTCCAGAGACCAATGGGATAATGATCATGCAGCAAGCGTTCCATATATCTGCCTGGCAGTTGTAGTCGAGGTCAAAAAGCCAAGGTAAGCGTGGGATTCTAGGATAAGGGGGTCTTTATTGCTTCACTTGGCTGTAAACCATTTGGTTACAAACTCTCCACTTTCAGAGTCCAACCATATTTGATATGATAGTATTAAAAAATGAACAGTTCTATGTCGCTAACATTTGCTTACTTGTGAGCGAAGCGTGTTTCTTATCCTTGCAACCAATTAGTGCTTAGATGTGAAATTGCCATGAATTCATCCAGAACACTTACCCAGTGCCTGCTGTGCCCTGGGTACCTGAAATGGAGGAGAAAGCAGAGGAGTGAAGATGTATCCTGGCCTGCCGGGCAGATAGGACATGTAGAGCAGCTCCTGGATATGCAGAAAGGTGTAAAGAGAGAAATAAGGATAGAAGCAGTCATGTGTCCAGGAGAGATAGGAGCCCTCAAAAGAGAGGGAAAAGTTCAGATGGAGGACGTCAGAGGGGGTTTATAAAGAGCCAGCTGCCTGTGGGGTTGGAAGGCATCTCCACATGCGCTCGAGTGGAGAGGGTGCTGCTGTCGTGGTTCAGACCCGCCAGGTCCCGCAAAGCCGTCAGGAGCTAGAGACCGGGGCTGGGGCAGCACCTGGATCAGGAGTGCGTGGGCTGGTCCACCCGAAGCTCAGCTGCCACTGCCAAGCAAGCGCTGTTTGCAGGAGAGGGCTGGAGGCAGGGCCCTGAGGGCATGACCTAAAGCGTGCATCTCTCTCTCTGCTTCCCGATTGCCCCGAAGCGACAGCTTTTCTCCGCCAGACCCTTCCACTGTGCTACCTCAGAGCCACCCACCGAAGAATGAAACCTCTAAGAGCTGTGAACCATAGTAAACCTCTGCCCCCTTAACTTGTGGGTGTCTGGGTATTGTATCTCAGTTCCAAGAAAATGGCAGTTGTCAAGGACAAAAGACAGCAAGGTGTGCTGCAAGAATGCAGTAGGAATGAATCAAAACGCTTGTTCACTAGTCACAAATTCAAGGACAGGGAAGACAGGTGTCCTGAGCCAGGCCTACCACCCAGAGGAGAGGCCTCATCGTCTGCAAAGCAGAAGGGAGCATCCACAGCCCTTGCACCCCCTCGTGAACCCAATCTCTGCTGCTTGCAGAAGACAAGCAGGGATTGGTCTGGATGGGCGACTGCAGCCGAGGCCGGGATGCTGCTGGACATTGAAGGCTTTGCCTGGAGATATCCGGCAGAGGAGGAAGGTGGACCCCAGGCTGGACAGGTCAAATATGTTAAAAATAAAGCCACAAGTGCCTGATGGTTGTTTGATTATGTCCTGATAAACAGTTTCATGTAGCCAGCAGTAGAGACCCATAGTCTTCAGAAACCATGAGCAAACGCCACCCGGGAACTGAACTGTGTTCCTATCGCCTGGAGTCAGGCACTAAGTAGCCCCTGTGTACAAGCCAGGTAGGAAGAGGTAGCTCAGCCTGGCAGACTGGAATAAGTGCCTTAGCAATGGTGTGCCCCCTTGGCCTCACACCCTGGCCTGCAAGGCTGTGCCCAGGTCACAAGGGCAGGGGGAGGGGCATGCCCTTCCCAAGTCACCTCTCGGCTGTGGAGATGGGGCGCCCAGAGGTAAAGCCAGGGGCCTCCGATCCTGGGCCACGATTTGCCACTGGGATCCAAGAGAGACAGATTGACAGGAGCGGAGCAGGTGTCTGCAGCCCCATCCGCGGGCTGACACAGACAAGGTTTCCAACTGGAGAGCAGCACAGAGGGCACCATTTTGTCGGTGGCAGGAAGTTCCCTATTTACCAGGCTTAGCCTTTTTTGACGCAAGCATGTCTGCCATTTTTTGAAAGTCCTACGTGCTCCCCCCATAATAACCGAATGTCATGTGCACTACAGTGCGAACAGGGTTTGTAACTCCTCCAAAAGAAATGGGTTCCAAACTCTAGCTGCCCCTGCTCTATATGCAGTGCCTTTGGGGTCATGAGGATTAGCCTGAAACAAGAAGTGAGCGAGGTGGTGACCCCCCCAGTCAGGCAGAACCCAGAGCACCGGGAGGACCATCTGCAAAGCCACTTGTGACTCACCACCATGCTTAGCGAGCAGAGGTCTTCATGTCTGTCCAACTCTGAGTATAATCTGGGGGAGAAAAGCAACAGCATCTACTGTTTGGACTCAAGTTGAGAACATTCAAATGACAGGAGCCTCTCTTTTCTCTCCTCTTCTCTCTGCTCTTCTTCCCTCCCCCTGCTTCCTCCCTCCTCCTCCTCCCTCTCCCTCTTCCTGTCCCTCTCCCCCGCTCACTGCATCTAGGGCCTGTAGAGCAGACTGCTGATGCCAACTGTCCCCATCCTAGCACGACAACCTTGCTGATGTTGTGCTGAAATGTGACTTCCCGCTGAGAGCACACACACAGTCACACAGTCAGGTCGGCTGGCTCAGGACCCCAGGAGCATCCGTCCCACACGGATGCAAGGTCCGGCCCAGGACCCAGCACATGGGCAGAGCTGCCCAGTGCCCCGGATGTCTTCCTCCTGCAGGGGCCGAACATCTACTTACCTTGCCCTCCTTTTGCATCCCTCTCGCCTTGCATTTCTCATGTCCACTATTTGGCTTTTCTTAAAATGTTTGCTCTGAGAATTCTTTATGCAAGAAAGAGCACAGAGCTCTCAAGCTTCCCACTGACTTACCCTCATCTCTGAGATTCCTAGGTCTGATGTGTCCCCCTCTGCCAGATGCCCCTCCTGAAGACCAAGGAGACCCGAAGTCCTTCCACTGGTGGCCCACCTGTGCAAGCAAGCAGTGCCCAGCTGAAAAGGACTGGAGAAGCCACATCCCCCATGCTTCTCCAACACTGCACCCGGAGTCACTGAAGAAGCACTAGCAGGGAAGAAACAATTGCATTCCTAGTGGCAGTCAGCAGGAGGCAGAGGCTCTTCCAGCTTAATGACTTGCAAATCGAAAGCATGAAAACCAGAAGGCACCTTTGAACCTCTCTCATCCAGCCTGGATGTCCTCATAGTTTCCCCCACAGTGTTCCTGGTATTTTTGCTACCAGAGCAATAACCTTCCCCTTGCATTCTTTTAAATGTTGGAGGAGGAGCTGTCCAGTGATCTCAAAGCATATGTTTTTGATTCTCATAAGATTATGGATACCAAAGGAATAAAAATGGAAATCACCACTGCCAAGATATGAAAGAAAGTTTGCATAGTAAAATAATTTAAACCTAACATTTGGACCCAATAAGGCAAATGGAACGTTTTTTCCATATTTTTGGAAAATGTGCATTTTTCTTCACATTAAGTGGTACCAATAAAAAATAATGATTCTCACTCAGTTTATTTCTATTAGTTAGATTGGCTTATAGTTTTCCAGGACATGGTTTTGTATCAAGTATATGGCAAACACCTGGGCATAAAATACACTCAGCTATTTACTTCCATGTGGGAAAAAAATGGGTCGACATTCCTCTCCCCTGAATCCAGAGCAAAGGTCAAGCAAAGCCTTTAGTAGATTTAGTGCGCTCCAGCTGCCCAATTGAGTGTCTTATCAACGAAGTGTGGGGGTCTAGAGCAAACCAGGGAGAGGCAGGATTGGAGGCCCGAGATTAGGCGGCCCATGCTGCCGACGACAGCCTCAGCCAATAAACAGTGGGGCGAGACCGTGAGGAAAAAGGACAGGAGCATTTCACAAGAGAATTCGTTCACAAGGAGATTAACCAGGGGAGATTATCAAGTGGGACTAAGGCCCTGGAAGTTAAAGCGGTGGTGGGTGAAGGGAGGTGTGGAAACGCGGAAACGTTGACGAGGAACGCGAGGACCCGGGGAAGCGGGGAGAAGACCAATGACGGACAGAAGCAATCAGCTGAGGTGCTGGACTTCAGATGGAAGAGCGTTTCCCAGGCTGAAGCCATCAGGCTGACCTGGAAACGCAGCGTGGAGAGGGAAATGCCCACCACGCAGAGCGGCACACACCGCCCCTCTGGACGCCAGCCCACGTCCGTGACCGATGCACGAATCCCTGCCTCATCTGCCTCTCAGGCCCGCTGGAGGGCTCAGGGGGAGATGAATGTGGAGAAGGTGATTCCTACAAAGTAGTGCGGGCATGGAGGACGTGAAGGAGCGGGTTGGAAGGAGGAGAAGTACCTGTTACCCTGTGGCTATCGTCTCAGCACCACAAAGCTTCGGGTGCTCCGGGGGTTAGGCGCTCTCCAGATACTTAAATGAAGGCACTTTGAATGCCTGGTCCACAAGCACAAACATTCGCAGCATCCTTATTTGTCCCGGTTCCCTGTGACTCCAGTGTCCTGCTCTTGCAGAATTCCCAGTCCCTGCTCCCACTTCTAGGACCCAGCCCAGGCGCTGACAAGGCTCCCACCCCTCCCTATAGCACAGGACGGGGCAGAGATCTCACCCGGTGCTAAAGACGGCCTTGGATGACCAGCAGCCCAGCAGCACCCCGTGATGGGACACCAGGGTTCCTTCCTCCCCGCCTCTGGTCCTCTCCTCGAGAGAACCACCACCACCCACGTGGACTCCCCTTCCATCTCTTTTCTGCCAGCAAGCAGCCAGCTGTCATTGTCGCCCCTGCCTGTCTTCTTTGGTCCTGACGCAGGGTCATCTCAGCCCTGGCTACACATCTCCTAGGAGCTGATGCCCTGACCAAGGGCGTGGAAGCGAGATGTGTGTCAGCAGAGTTCTTCAGGGTCCCTCAGCCAACGGTGCGAGCCACCTCCATCCAGCCCAGCTCAGCTGTGACCTCGGGAACTCACCTTTCATGCTCCAAAATGTCATCCAGGTGTTTTGCTGAACAAAAGACAATTCTCTCCTGAGAAAATCGGTGCCAGTGTTTAAAAAAAAAACTGGATCATTATTTTTCCTGTCATGTTATTATCTTAAGAAATTTGCCAACAATCCACTTTTCATTACCCAGGAGTTGGGTCTTCCAAGCCTTCTGCTGAGTTGGAGAGTAGTGGGTGGGCGGGAAGAAAGCTGGAAGCCCACGTAGGGGAACCTGAGTTCTTCTTGAGAAACTTCCTGGCAGG